TTATACGGCTAATTTGCGAATTAGTCACACAGATAAGGCAGAGTGATTGACGATGATCGGTTTATTTGTTATTTTCTGCACGTTCATAAATCGCAAAGGCGGAAGGCCGAAGCCTCGTTGCCCTAACTCGTAAATGTTTAGCGAACCGCCATATAGGGTTAATTGGTATCATGCAAATAGAAATTCACGACTCACACATTCGAACACAGAACTACACCCATTGATTCTCCCTACCCTCAAAACGACCCACTAATAGTGATCGTTTAGTACTACTGTCGTTACGTACTTCAACTATTCTAATCATGTTGGTTAAAGTACTTAGTAGCTTTCGAAGCTGTCTTATTCGGAATTTTCATAATTTCGGTTGATGACAACATTAACTGGTTAATTAGGAATTAGTCAGGAATGCAGCTTGTCAGCTATCCAACTCATGAACCAACATTTTTCAATGATGAATCCTCGAGTACGAAGAATGAAGAAGGATTAAAATTGACACGATTTCTCGAACTATAGGACAATCCAGATGAACATTATTTACGTATTTATTTGGCTTTCGGGTACGTCTTTAGGACTACTACTTAATGGAGTACTCAGGACGGGACCCCGGTTTAACTTACACGCGTGGGGGAAAGATAGAAATGTAGAGAGCTTCATGTATTACCTTCACCGTATCTAGCAACTCCGCCTGCCTGCGCTTTCCTTCGACACACAGGTATGAGACCCTGAGCCAATTTTATTGGAACGTTACAGCTTTAATTTTTCACCGTCCACAAATCGCAATCGAGATCGCACCATGGAAAGCTGTCCATGACCCATTGTAGGGGCTGACATAATTTTTAATAGTGTTTTTACAATAATCCAGATTAGTCTCTTTACAGATATTTTACCTTTTACAACTCCTTCGGTCTAAGATGAGTTATGGGCAGCGTACCCAGGTGGGTTGGATTCCCGGTCAGGGTAAAAATAAAGTTGTAGCTTTCCAATAAAATCGTCTCAGTTTCTGTTGCGGTGTGACGGAGAGAAGCTCAAGCAGATGGAGTTTACTAGTTACTGCTTACTGTTTCCCACATGTCTCCCTTATCTACCAAGCGTGAAAATTAACTAAACCCAGGCATGGGGGATACCGTTAGCTAGCCCACAAAGTCGGACAATCGACTCAAAAATGTCAAAAACACAAAACTTCCTCCATTCAGGCCAGAAGCGAGTCACCCGGAAATGGCAAGCCCGTGGTGGAAATACAAGAGTGAATTACTCCGGCACACCGATTTTTGCTCGTTCAGTGCAGCACCATTTTGCGTCACGAACCACGTGACCACAGCACACGAGCGCTTCATTTGAAAAACTAGACCGGACACTGGACGCCATGTTCCATGGAGAGTGAGAAGTGTTGAGAAACTTTTTGAAAGTGATACAAAGTGACAATTTGCAAGGGTAACCAACCAAAAATAACACGATGAAAGCGTACAAGATGCAATATTTTAAAGAAATCTTTTATAAAAGTACTTCTATGACTTGTAACTATGATTATTATGGCATTTAAAATTCCCGCCAATATTGTGACGCAAACTGCTGCATGAAGCTCATTGGCCGAAGTCGAACACGATGCGCAGAAGGGCTCCCCAGAGGGCACCAACCTCGTCCTGCGACTCCAGCAGCTGCTTGGCGAAGGTGTTGCGGTCGTCGCGCACGGCGTCGTACAGGTTCTGCTGGTGGCGGAAGCGCGCCTCCCCCTCCTCGATGCAGCGCCGCGTCTCGTACAGCGCCATCTGCTTCAGGCGCACCTCCTCCAGCGTCTCCTGCACGCGCACCTCCAGCTCCGTCGACTGGATCAGCAGCCTGCGCGCGACACACGCCTGGCTCTCCTCCGCCTCCTCCTACTCCCCTCCTCCTCCCCCTCCTTCCCTCCTCCTCCTCCCCTTCTCCTCCACTTCTTCCTCCTCCCCTCCTCCCCTTCT